CCTTCACGGGTATCGGGACATGTGACAAGGGCGGAACATGCTAGAACACCTTAAAAAGATACCGTCTACAAAAGCAAAGTGGTGCTGGTTTCAAAGTCAGCAGAACGTTCGCATCACGATCATTGTAGTTCCACATTTGGTAAAGAGCATGCCCTGCCCTGTCCAGTCCGAGTCACCTTGTAATGGAGAAATGAAGAGAGGAATGAGTAAACCATAGAAACTGGTGTTGCGTTTATCATTGTAGGAATGTGCGCTAATGCATAAATGTGATGTGGACATCACGGGCGTCTGATCCCTCACTCCTTGACTTAGCGACCCTCGACGGACCATTTGACTGTAGAGTCCGAGCTTACTTCCTCATAGAACATAGAACAGCAATCCGAATAGGTAACTATACGCTGTGCTCAATATATGTAAGGTTTGTTAGAGATCCATATCCAAACATTCCCTGGCAAAAGCCACGAAGAGGACAGGAAGATACTCAGACGATAAGCATACCACTTCCAGAGTAACCCAATTGTCAACCTCCTTGAGTGAGTGAGTGAGTTTTTACGCCGCACTCAGCAATATTCCAGCTATATGGCGGCGGTCTGTAAATAATCGAGTCTGGACCAGACAATCCAGTGATCTCAACCTCCTTGAACAAGCTGCACGATATTCTGAAGAAGAGGAAATTGTTTTGTTTTGTGGCGTCCTTACAATAAACAAGGAATAATACTGCTAATTAACCACTCATTATGTAATTAAACATTGAGTTTACAACAAATCAAACGCTCGTCCTTTTATCTGACTGAAGTTCCAGATCGTTTTGTCTGAAACTTTTGTCATAAAACGTGTTTCCTTCAAACACATTGTATTGAACAAAATATGATTTAACACATATAATAAGTAACTGAAGTATTAAAGGCGATGGTTACTAAGAAATAGTCATGCTATGTTGTTTTCTTTGACTTAAATGCTAAGGTTTTATTACCATGAATGTAAAATAAACATCATACAATTTGTTCAAGATGACATCTGACATGTAGATATGAAATGTAGGGGTTTCCAGTTAAGACACACAGGTAACCGAACCTTTTAATCATAGATACTGTATGTAGAACGTTATTAATGAGAAGGGTTGACGCAGGTAACACAACACGAGGGAAAGATCTGGCCAAGCCGTATCTACCTGCCATAATAAATTAGTGTTCGGTCATTACATTGAAAATTCGCTTCGCCAATTGGTCAAGGTTCAATCTTCAAGGTTCAAGGTTTCTTTATAAACAACTCCAATTGATCAAGGTTCAATCTGGTATATCATCATGGGTGTATGGAACTAGGGCGGAGGGCCGTTCTAAAGAAAGTGTTCTGTCCCCGTTACTATCATATACACATGGAAATTAATTACTGACTGACTGACTGAGTTTGGTTTTACGCCGCTTTTAGCAATATTCCAGCAATATCACGGCGGGGGACACCAGAAATGGGCTTCACTCATTGTACCCATGTGGGGATTCGAACCCGGGTTTTCGGCGCGACGAGCCAACGCTTTAACCACTAGACCACCCCACCGCCCCTGGAAATTAATTAAGCGACACCCGATTTTGCCAACTGTGGATAAGTGTGATGTCAACCTGCCATCATACCAAGTCAGGAATGGGTCCAACATTACTCTGTCATGAAAGTTGAACTTATTCAGTAATGAATAACACACAAAGGTAAAAGGTGATAAAACGTTTTAATCTTTTTAAGACATGTGATTCTGAAGTGGGAATTTCAGCAAAATTGTTCCACGATACAACTTTGGTGCTGTGGAGATCAACAAAGACACAGATAAGTTCATGTCTGGCAGAAAGTGTTCTGCGAGGTATCAAGGAGACAAATCACCAACAACATGTCAGTAGGGAGTGTACCCGCCACGAGCCCGGATGACGGCATCGACCCTTCTCCTCATGCCTCCAGTGAGTCGTCGAATTCGTTCCAAAGGCAGCTGCTGCCACTCACGATGCAATGCAGCCTCTAAACAAGCAAGATTCTGCGGACGAGGTTCCAGTTTTTGGATTCGACGTCCAATAATTTCCCAGACATGTTCTAAAGGATTCATATCTGGACTCATAGCAGGCCAGGGGAGTTGGGTGATGGTAGAAGGTTGGTCTGAAGGTACTCCTTCACAGCACGGGGACGGTGAGGCCGAGTGTTTTCATCCATGAACAAAGGACGAGCAGCTAAAGCATGATTGTCAAAATGAGGTACAAGGAGTGGTCAAGGATGTCCCGGATGTAGCGATCGCCATTGAGATTCCCCCGAACCCAAGAGGCAACCCAAAACCATAACTGACGACCCCCACCTCTCTCTGTCTCTGTCTCACGCACGCACGCACACACACAGAGAGAGAGAGAGAGAGAGAGAGAGAGAGACACACGCGCGCGCACACACACACACAGAGACACACACACACACACATGCCTAACGGAACTGAAGCCTGCATATTTCTTGGCACATAAGCAGTGCTTTTGGTCCTCCAAACACGTTGACGGCCATCTGTGACGTGTAAAAGGAAGCGGCTCTCGTCCGACCAATCGACCTTCCCCCATGACGTCAAATTCCACTGACGTCGGGTCAAGCACCAATCCAAATCGGCTCTTTTATGGAGAGTCGTTAGTGCACGACGCTTTAATTACCCGTCCTGCCCTCATGCTGATCGACTTCAAGCGGTTTCTCACTGTTGCTCACAGCTCTGTTTGGAAGCCAAAGGGTTTTCAATACGCCACTTGTGTTGAAGGGTTGACGTCGCACAACACGTGCTAGGGCATTATCTTCCACTCTGGTAGTCTTCCTGGGTCGGCCTGGCCTTGGACGGTCCCTCACATGGTCGATGGCGATGACTTTTCTCACAAGTCTGCGAATGGTAGAGTGACGAATGTTCAGCTGACGACCAATCGCTCTGGCGGACATTCCTGTTTTATGCATGCCAATAATTTCCCATCTCTTCGCTTGTGAAGATACCTAAATCAATGAATTTATGTAAATATGTTTGTATCTCTCTAATGTGTCAGTAGCTCTGCTGATGTAACACAAATTCCTGAAAAGGCGGGGCGGTGGGGTAGCCTAATGGTTAAATGGTTGGCTCGTCACGCCGAAGGCCCGGGTTCGAAACCCCACATGGGTACAATGTGTGAAGCCCATTTCTGGTGTCCCCCGCCGTGATGTTGCTGGAATATTGCTAAAAGCGGCGTAAAACCAAACTCAGTCAGTCAGTCAGTCCTGAAAAGGCATTAAAGTATTATTCTATTCTATTCTATATCGCCGCCGTGCCATACTGATACGTTCTGAGTAAATTATCACGACTTTTACTCATTTTATACCTTTTGGCACATCCGATTGAAAGTGCTTTTTGCGGTGTACGTGGGTACCTTGAATTCCATGCATGTGATGTTGTGTTCGCGCGATGAGTGTAATCACCAAACTGAACATTCGTTAAAGGAAATTCCATTCAACATCTGTATACCATCAAAACATCACAATATTTAAATGGTACAAAATTATTACAAAATGTATTGGGTGTCGCTTAATTAATTTCCATGTGTATAGTTACAGCTATGATTTCATGATTACGACACAGCCTTGGTGCTTCATGCTTCACGCACTAAAAGAACGGGTCGAACACAAGTACTAGAGGTATGACCAGAAGCTACAGGTGTCACCTATACCAACCAGCTACTGCACAGACCCTGCCTCTAGAACAGTGTGACCTTCATGAACCACCTTTGCACGGATCCAAGGGAATACCACACAGGCATAGGTAGAGTAACGCTTTGTCCCTCAATAACGTCTTTGAGTGGCATTTTAGAAGTTGGGAAGTACAATATAGAACAAACTTTATGGATAACAACTTCTTTTATTCGTGAGTGCGACGTTTCGATACAGATTCTTGTACCATTGTCAAGCAGGAATGGAACATGAAGAAGGGGGATGAAGAAGATTCTATATTTAGAAGGGGGGTGAAGATTCTATATTTGTCTCTGAATATATACACAAAGAACTTAGTTAAGCACCCGCTGACATATCTCACGATTGAATGACCCGGTCTTAACCCTTTGGACCATATCTGGGACATGATTGGTCGTCGTGTGCAACAAAGGGACCCTCCTGTACAGAATTGGAATTGGCCCAATTGGAAGCTGCTTTCACGAGGAATGGCGTAGACTGACAGGGGTCCATGTCAGTTTGTCTCATGTTTCTGAAGTATCCCGAGGCTGGTTTAAGGTCTTTGAGTGCCTGGCTTATGCTTGTAAATTTCATACATTGTTCAAATTCCGATGCCATTGTTAGGAATACCAATGTTGCCAAACATCAGCTTCATCACTGAAGTGACACCTGATGTACGCAAAAGTTGTTGATGACATCAGACAAGAGTCTGTGCAAACTATAAAAAAAAAAGTAAGGCCAGAAATGATTGGAAAAATATGATGAATTTGACGCAAGATAAAAGCACATATATGATACATGTACGACTCTACCTAGTTGGATATTAAAACTCAGATGAAAAAATGCACTTAAGGGGTGACTTCACAGGAGGAAATTTTGACGTACAAACTGTAGTTTTGAAATGCAGACTATAATTATTCATATAGCCTCAACTAATTAAATTACATAAATGATTGTAAAAAGTTTTAAGATCTATATGTAATAATAGGCAATAATGTCAATGCATGTTCCTGTTTTGAGTTGAAGTATTGGGTAATGCATTCCACATTTTGTAGTCACTGCTATCAATGTTTCACTCCGGGAAGGGGTCATTTCATAATATGGAGGTCGATAAAGCAAGCAAACAGTTTTCTGTGCAGTGCCAATATTTATATTTTTTGCAATAAATCACAATCATGCTAAACTACAGAAAAAGGTTTATAATTAGAATAAAATTTAATGTTTATTCTACAGTATTTTTTCCTTTTGGAAGTGAAGTAATTAAAGTAAAGTAATTAAGTCTTACCTTAAGACTCAAAACATGTTTTGCCCTCACAGATCTCTGTTCTAAGATTATTATGTATTTGGCCCATTAAAAATAGGCTTAAAATGATAATTTATCATAGTACCCTTGATCCATTTCAAATTTAGGAATTCAAAATTCTACAGCAATATGTGGCTAGGTTGACATAAGGGAGCCTAAAATACCAAGTAATGTGTGACTGGTTTAAATATAAGGTTTCTGTTGCACTCAAGCCAAGATGGGAGAAATGAGGAGAGTCTGCGCTCATCCTCCATGAGAATAGCCATGGGACATCGGAGCTGCGCTTTCATCTCTCGTCTTATTACGTTCAGAGAGGTGGGTCGTATCTACACTGATTGTACTCTATCACAAGCTGTTATTTAGGCAGTAGTAAACCCACAAACAGTTGTGAACCGGTTTTCATTTTGTTGTTTTGTCTGGTTGTCTTTGCAGCTTGCTCCAAGGTGCCTGCGGAGGACAAAGTATTTCCAGAATTGCGGAACAACCGAAAACAGAAAGATTGTACTGGTTACATCTGTTTACAACTTAAATTTGGATTATATGTAATTGGGATTTCAAAGGTTAGATCTTTTCTGTCGATAAGTAGATTGTCCTCGTCTCCATAATTCATTTTATTGCCATTTTTTCCACTGTAGAGATTCATTTCTTGTACATTTTGTAAGTTTTTAAACTTAAAGCCCACCATTGCAGGTTCTGGATCAGGCTACTGCATACAGGATATATTGTTTGCTGTCCATAAATAAATTTGCTGAAGTATGACGGAGTGGTTTGTTTTCTCTGGACATGTTTGTCATTGTGACTGACATCATGGGGATCAGAAACGGTTTTGGATTCTTGTGCAAGGTGCACCTGTTCATGCTTGGATACAGTAGTTTTTGAAAGAATGTTTTTGGCAGTATAAGAGCTTTGCCCAGGTGTTCTCTGTAATCAATTATGGATCAAATAAACCAATCCATGTCATCTGACAGAAGCAGCCAGGTCACATGAGCACATGATTTTAGCTGCTTCTTCCTGTGAATAGGCAGGAACTGCATTACTTCAGGATTTTCCCCCACATGAAGCAGATAGCTCATGATAAAACAGAAATACAGTTCAAATTAGTATTAAACCAAACTCATTTACCTAATCATTTTTGTCAGCTCTTAAGACTTGGCACACTTCAACCCTTTAAAAATCATCTCTTCAGATGAAACAATCTACTGGTAAACAAAGATAAGTTGAGCACCGACCTGACAATTTTCCTGTAGTAGCATGTATGAGTGCAGCCCACTGGCGCTTGCCATTGTTAGCGAAGGAGCCCCAGGTTGTCCACGTTCAAGTGTAGTGTGACTTGCTACACTGACGTGAGTGTCTTGTCAGCAAGGTGTGTGCAGCTACTCGTGAAATCATCGTGCAATGCACATGCACATGCACAAGTCTACATCTGCTCTACCTTTCACAAACCAAATGGGTCTGCTCATTGCCATGCACTGCCTACTTCTCGTAAACGCGTTCTCTGCACCGCTGTAACTTCTATTTGTTTGTCAGTAGATGCAGATGGAAGCCATTCTGATCAATACTTTTGATAGTCATACAAGTGAGTGAGTTGAGTTTTACACCGCACTCAGCAATATTCAAGCTATATGGCGGCGGTCTGTAAATAATTGAATCTGGACCAGACAATCCAGTGATCAAGAGCATGAGCATCGATCTACACAATTGGGATACAATGACATGTCAACCAAGTGAGCGAGTCTGACCACCCAATCCCGTTAGTCGCCTCTTACGACAAGCATGGGTTACTGAAGATCAATTCTAACCCTGATCTTCACGGGTCGGTAGTCATACAAACTAAATGTATCAGGTTTTGCACCTGATACAGAAGTATTACATCAGAGTTGTCTTAATGATGGATCCTGGAAAACATGAACAAGAGGCTGACAGCTGTGGACACTATTTGATTTTGAAACCAAGGCAATGCTTGAACTTTTCAGGGATTTCACATGTGTAGTTTGTTTATTACCCTGGGAATTCATTTTGACATACTGATCAACTTTGTCAAGATCACCTTTGAGGGGAAATCTTTGCTTAAAGGTCACATGCAACATAAAACACAACTTTGCAGATTCTGATACCTTTCGGTATGGACTTACCGAAACAAATCGTCAAAAATGTAATTTTCTGAGTAAAATTGATATTTTATACTTATCCTGACTCATGTATTATTACTCACTCTCTCCTCATGAGTCAGGATAAGGAAAAATATGTAATTTTCTGAGTAAAATTGATATTTAATACTTATCCTGACTCATGAGGAGAGAGTGAGTAATAATACATGAGTCAGGATAAGGAAAAATATGCAAATTCAACTTATAAAGTTGAAAAATAACCCAATGGAAAAACCGCGCGAAATCGGAGTTCAAACGATTCACTAATTTTCCCCCGACTTTTCGGGGAAAACGGGTTTCAACAGCTGGGCTGCGCTCATAGCACGTGCGCAGTGAAATAGGTTCGCGCATCTTGGAAGCGGGTTGTCCGGTGAATACTCGGTGAAGGTTTTGGTGTGAGCTATTTTTCTAATGCTTTGTTGATATCTCACAGGCGCGAGCTTTTTATATGTTATGACAGTAAATCCACTGTTTATATAATTTCATTTGTCTATTTCACCACATGTTCTTCTTACCGAGTCACTTTCTCAGTTCGATACTTAAAAGCAATGTCATTATTTAGCGTTGACAGAATTTCTAACTGTGATATAGATATGTCGTCACAGACAAAACTCAATGTCTTGTTTTATTGACACCTGTGTGTCTGCCTGCCTGTCTGCTAATGACAATATTCAATACACAGCTGCTATACTGACCACATGCAATTTGAACTTAACACCAATCAGTCTATACACCATAAACAAAATGCATTGATTTATGGCCCGAGTTCGGTCTCTGTCACATTATGTAATTACACAGACAGGCAGGTGTGATACTTGAACACATGACATGTTATGATGTCTGTTGATTGCAAAATGTTTATACACAAAAAATGAGCATGTATTTACAAAACCCAACATCTCTATATATACACACACAATGAGCCGTGAGGGCATCTGCAAATGAACCAGCCGTTACACTTGAGTGCACACCCACCCGCTCTGACTGGGTTCGGTGTCCCGGCTGCTTCGTTTCTTGGGAAGTAAACCCAAGTACACAATATTGCACTTTTGACTTGCGATTGTACGCTTATAATTTTGTTTATATGTTTTTTCATAACCAGCAATGTATATTATATGTCATGAATAAGTGATAATTGTGTTTTAATTATGTTTGATTTTTTGGTTGCATGTGACCTTTAATCAGAACAGACCTACCAAAGAAAATCATGAGAGAGCAGCTAAATGATGGAATATATACACACTTTCAACAGTCATATGAACACACATTTCAAACTCACTAACAGCTCCCTTCCTATAATCAATTTTGGACCAGGGGAATACATGACTTTCAACATGCCTTCAGGTAAGGAGCAGAGCCTCACCATTACCGTTTGATAGCATCTCACAACCGGTAATAGAATTATAAATGTCATTAAGCATTCAGCTCATGTATCATAGGAACAAAATCAGTGCAAGAGTCAAATGCAACACTTCTGTCACTATCAGTCTACCTTATCATTATGCAGTATATGTTATTGGCAGCAAGACTAAAAACTACTGTATTATTTTGCAAATTACAACTGAAACACATATACCATAATAAAACAATAAAGTTTATGATTGTAATAACAATACCTTGAATACAAAATCAGATTCATGGAAATATTAACTGACAATAGATCATTTCATTTTGCTTGTTTCGAGAGACCAAGACTTCAAATAGTCCAAATAGGCACAAAGTGTTCTTTCGATTTTGACAATTATGTAAATGTTCAAATTGTTCAAGCCACTTCACATGTCCATCTAGTACAGAGTGAACAGTCCCTTGATGAAGCTGAAGACACTGCAGCAGCATGCTGTCTCAAATGACTGTGGCTGACTTGGTTCTTCCAGGTGGCTCACATCAATCAGGACACAGGATTCTGTGTTTACAGGCTGTACTGCAAATGGTGATGTGGGATCTCCTAAGTCTATCTCAGGGATGTCCTGCCTCAAGTTCATTGTGGAAGGTACTGCATACAGTTCTGTGGGATCTCCCAAATCTACCTCAGGGATGTCCTGCTCCAAGTTCATAGAAAAACTACACAGTGACCGAAGGGCAGGGTTAGGGAGAGGGGTCTGGGTGATGGGTGGGGAATCAACTTCAGCAGTTGACAGCTTTGAGAGAAAGAAAAGGCAGTGTAATAAGACGGAAGATGTGTGAATATAATTCTGTCCTATTTTTCCTAAAAGTACATGTCCAAGTTGTCTTTTGCTTCTAACCAGTCATCTTGACTTAATGTTTGCTTATATTAATAAGTATAAATCTATAGTAATGGTTTTACACCCAAATGGGGACAAAAAACTCAAAAAATCACAACCGTCTGTTTTAAATCATAGGGTAAAAGTCAAGGAAAGCTCCCTTCATGACCTACTGGGACAGGGACAGGATGGTTGGAGGGGCAGGCAGCAATGGTAGGACGCTGAGACTTTCTCAACTCTTCCCGAGCTACCGAGGGAAATGATGCATTAATCTATGTAAAACGGATTCAAATTGATGACAGATGGTGAAATGGATCTATGAAATATGAATTGACAGATCATGGGACCCTCTTTTTATCCACTGATATACCTCACACATTCAGGTGTTGTTGCTAAATGTTCTTTCTTTGAAAATGAAACAAAATGGTCCTTATGTATGTTATATGGTTCCCATCAAGATTTGTAACTTAGCCTCATGAAGTTCCTGTTCGGTAACTAAAAAGGATTGTTGATTGAACGCCATAGGCAGTCATACATATTATGTTCATTATGCCGAGTACCAAAACCAAATTGCGCTTAAAAGACCTAAATAATGTACCTTGATGGTAAACACTTGCAACGCTCGTGAACATGGTGCAAAGTTCGTCACAAGTGTGAATCAAATCGCAAAATGACAGCAGAGACTTGGATTTTGCCAAACAGATGCTAAACAACAATGGCGTCGTTTGCAGACAACAGTCACCATGGAGATGTTCTCGCGAGATTCCGTCGTCTTTTTAGTGAACTGGAACTGGGGTCGTGTTGCGCGAACATCGTTATCCAGTCGGTCTCGTTGGACGAGGGCGGTTCATGCCACAAAACAGCGAGTATGGAGTTACGCCGCTTTTAGCAACATTCCAGCAACACCAGAAATGGGCTTCTCATATTGTACCGATGTGTGGAAACGAACCCGGGTCTTTAGCGTGACGAGCGGACGCTTTAACCACTACACTGACTTACTGAGTTTAGTTTTACGCCGCTTTTAGCAATATTCCAGCAATATCACGGCGGGGGGACACCAGAAATGGGCTTAACACATTGTGCCCATGTGGGGAATCGAACCCGGGTCTTTGGCGTGACGAGCCAACGCTTTAACCACTAGGCTACCCCACCGCCCCCTTTAACCACTACAGGCTACTCCACCGCCCCGCACAATTCTAGACCCGACGGAGACGCAAAACTGGGTCTTTTTTTGGACAAAAGATGAATACTTGCATTGGCGGGGTGTGTGTGTGTGTGTGTGTGTTTTCGAACCCCCCTGAACCCCCCCCCTTTTCAAAATTCCTGGATCCGCCCATGACTTGTCGTGTTGGGGTTATCATTCACCTCATTTGGTCAAGTCAAAATGGTA